TTACAAGTCCGTGTCTTACAAGTCCGTGTCTTACAAGTCCGTGTGTTACAAGTCCCTATTTTACAAGTCCGTGTGTTACAAGTCCTTGTGTTACAAGTCCATGTTTTACAAGTCCGTGTGTTACAAGTCCGTGTTTCACAAGTCCGTGTCTTACAAGACCGTGTCTTTCAAGTCCGTGTCTTACAATTCCGTGTGTTACAAGTCCATGTGTTACAAGTCCGTGTGTTACAAGTCCGTGTGTTACAAGTCCGTGTGTTACAAGTCCGTGTTTTACAAGTCCGCGTGTTACAAGTCCGTGTTTGGCAAGTCCGTGTGTTACAAGTCCGTGTTTTACAAGTCCGTGTGTTTTACAAGTCCGTGTGTTACAAATCCGTGTGTTACAAGTCCGTGTATTACAAGTCCGTGTCTTACAAGTCCGTGTCTTACAAGTCCGTGTATTACAAGTCCGTGTTTTACAAGTCCGTGTCTTACAAGTCCGTGTCTTACAAGTCCGTGTCTTACAAGTCCGTGTGTTACAAGTCCCTATTTTACAAGTCCGTGAGTTACAAGTCCGCGTTTTTCAAGTCCAGTCCAGTCCAGTCCTTCAAATACAGTATGCCATGCGCACATGACGTCAACGTTTTCGAAAGCTTCAGTTTTCGCGTGCTGTCCACACTCTCGGCAGTGTTTTCAACTAAGTGTATTTCCGAAGAAAACGATGCGCGATTTCAAAAAAATAAATCCTCTCTTTCCTTTATGGCTAATTATTGCAATCAGGAGCTCTGCTTTTAGGCTTAGCTAAATCCATATATTATACACTCTTACAAATTCAGTCCTTGACGGCGCATTATCCTTATTAAAAATCTCGCTCGAAAAGTTTAGCTTGAAAACTCATTTTGCGACAACTAAACCGAAATCGTTGAAAAGCGTACAAATTTAGCAACTGAAACTAACCAATCAACAAATTGCAAAGTTTCCTGAGAGGTTCGTGACACTTCACACTTTGTTGGGTTTTCAATTTTGTTCAGATCTATTGTTCGTATTCTTCAATGTTATTGGTTTATTTGAGAATAAGATCGCTATCCTTCCTTCTCAAGTAACGTTCTGATTGGTTAACTCTTTTCCAACTGGCACGGTTCGAGTAGTCGTACTGTAACAATACGTCTTTCACCAACTAAATTATGTCGCTCGACAACGGCAAATGGCAAGATTTGGGGTCACGACACAAATTTACTGATTCTACGAGTCAAAAACTTAATATGGTCATATCTCAAAGATCTTACTTATGATTTACTCTGTAGAAGTCAGCATCTCATGCACATCAAAGCACAAAGCAGTTATAACATTTCCCATCAGACTGCCACCACACAACGTATCAAACGCACTCCCTAATCAACGATTACTCCTGGTATATGAATAATTTTAGCCTTACCTCCCTGATTTTTCTTCAACTGATTTTGTAGCTCCTTGCACTCAGCTTTAACAGTCTCAAGTTCTGGTGATAAATCCAAAATAACCTGTTAATAGACGTCATAAAGAGTTGCAAACCTTGCCTTGTCCACCAAGCGATTTGCTGAACCAGTTGGACAAGGAACTATAAAGTGCGAAGTTGAAAGAACGGAGCAGTATTGTAATTGAATGGGGAAAGTATAAGTCATCCAAACTGTGTCTTTGTCCTCAGGACACAACATATGTGGGGCGACTTACTTCATTTCCATTTAAAAGTTTCACTATTCTTTCCTTTGTTATGAGGATAAAAGGTGATTTCGCAATTGATCACCCGCTTCTGTTGTGATGAATCTCTTTAAGAATTCAATTGATTTTTAGGCCCCGTCCATACTACTCCGGGAAAATTTGAAAACGCAGCTTTACTTCTACAGTTAGGCCTAACTTCCGCAATAATCCGTCGTGAAAACGGAGTATTTGGAAAACGCTCTTCGAACCGGAACAAGTCGGCCTTTGCGTGTTAGTGTCGACGGAAAACAATTGGAAAACGATCGCGTCACGATAACCATGTGATTTTCCTGCCTGAGTTTTCCTCAAACACAGATCCAAAATAGCTGGAGATTGTTGAGTTTTCACATTTCTCGGGCGTAATATGGACGCAAAACATTTGATGCGTTTACAGAATGAAAACGCCGTTTTCAGATTTCCCCGGGTTAGTGTAGACGGGGCTTTAGATACGAGGAGCCCCTTTTTTTCTTAGTCCTTCGAGTGCAACGTAAAACGAAACACAAGAAGAAA